TTAAAAAGATTTTATTTTGAGAGAGAGAGAGAATGAGCAGGGGGAGGGGCAGAGAGAGAGGGAGAGCTGAGCAGGAAGCCAGACATGGGGCTCGATCCTGGGACCCTGGGATCAGGACCTGAGCCAAAGCAGACGCTTAACTGACTGAGCCACCCAGGTGTCCCTGTGACCTTGTCTTACAGAAACTATTCTGTGGAGGCTCATTCAATATTAGCACTTTGTTTATCCTTCAATCCCTTCTTCCACTGCCAACCACAGGATTAAAGAGGACAAATTATCGGGACACCTGGGTGGCTCAGTCTGTTAAGCGTCTGCCTTTGGCTCAGGTCATGATCCCAGGGTCCTGGGATCGAGTCCCACATGGAGCTCCTTGCTCAACAGGGAGCCTGCTTCTCCTTCTCCCTCTGCTGCTCCCCCGCTTGTGCTCGCTGTCGCTCTCACTCTGACAAATAAAAAAAAAAAAGATCTTTAAAAGAAATACATTAAAAAAAAAAAAGAGGACAAATTATCTACTAAGAGTTTGAACTTGTGCCCAAGCAAAGCAGCCCTGCAATTTTTAAAAATCATCTTTATTGAAGGGCACCTGGGTGGCTCAGCTGGTTGAGCATCTGACTCTTGATTTTGGCTCAGGTCATGATCTCAGAGTCATGAGATCGAGCCCATGTTGGGCTCCACGCGGGGAATGGAGCCTGCTTAAGATTCTCTCTCTCCCTCTCCCTCTGCCTCGCCCACTCTAAAAAAATCATCTTTATTGAGATATAATTCACATATCATACAACTCATTTATTTAAAGTACACAATTCAATGATTTCAGTGTATTTACAGAGTTGAGCAGCCATCACCATAATCTAAGTTTAGAACATTTTCATTACCTCCAAAAAGAAACCCAGCACCTAAAAGCAGTCATGCTGCCCTCCTCCTCCCCGCCCCAGGCAATCACTAAACAACTTTCTGTCTCTACAGATTTGCCTCTTCTGAAGATTTCATAGAATGGAATCATATAGGGGTGCCTGGGTAGCTCAGTAGGTTAAGAGTCTGACTTTGCCTCAGGTCATGATCCCAGGGTCCTGGGATCAAGCCCCACATTGGGTGCCCCGCTCAGCAGGGAGTCTGTTTATCCCTCTCCCTGTCCCTCTGCCCCTCCTCCCACTTGTGTGCATGCACTCTCTCTCTCTCAAAGACATAAATAAAATTAAAAAAAAAAAAAATGGAATCACACAAAATGTGGCCTTTTGGGTCTGGCTTCTTTTGCATAGCATGCTTCACGCATGTCTTAGCATATTCATACTTCTTTTTTTTTTTTGCCCAATAACATTCCATTGTGTGGATATACCACCTTTTATTTATCTGTTTTTCTGTGGATATACAGAGTAATTCTTTTTTTTTTTTTAAGATTTTATTTATTTATTTGACAGAGAAAGACACAGCGAGAGAGGGACCACAAGCAGGGGGAGTGGGAGAGGGAGAAGCAGGCTTCCCGCCGAGCAGGGAGCCTGATGCGGGGCTAGATCCCAGGACCCTGGGATCATGACCTGAGCCGAAGGCAGACACTTAACTGACTGAGCCACCCAGGCGCCCCAGTAATTATTTTTTTTAAGATTTATTTATTTTACAGAGTGAGAGAGGGTGCAAGTGGGGGTAGGAGCAGAGGGGAGAGGGAGAGAATCTCAAGTAGACTCCCTTCTGAGCATGGAGCTCAACACAGGGCTTGATCTCATGACCCTGAGATCATGACCTAAGCCAAAATCAAGAGTTGGACGCTTAACTGATTGAGCCACCCAGGCACCCCTACACAGAGTAATTCTTAAAGCCACACCTTTCTAAATTCTTGAAGTCCCTTTCCAAAGAAGACATACAAATGGCCAACAGACATATAAAAAGATCCTCAACATCACTCATCATCAGGGAAATACAAATCAAAACCACAACGAGATATCACCTTACACACACCAGAATGGCTAGAACCAAACACAAGAAATAACAAGTGTTAGGGAGGATGTGGAGAAAAAGGAACCCTCTTGCAGTGTTGGCGGGAATGTAAATTGGTGCAGCCACTGTGGAAAGCAGTATGGAGGTTCCTCAAAAAATTAAAAACAGAATTACCATATGATCCAGTAATTCCACTACTGGGTATTTACCCAATGAAAACAAAAACACTCATTCAAAAAGATATGTGCACCCATATGTTTATTGTAGCATTACTTATAATAGCCAAGACATGGAAGCAACCCAAGTGTCCATTAATAGATGAATGGATAAAGCTGCGGTACAGATCTACAATGGAATATGACTCAGCCATAAAAATGAATGAGATCTTGCCATTTGCAACAACATGGATGGATCTAGAAGGTATAATGCTATGTGAAATAGACAGAGAAAGACAAGTACCATATGATTTCACTCATATGTGGAATTTAAGAAACAAACAAACAAAGAAAAAAGAGACAAACAAAAAAAGTAGAGTCTTAAGCACAAAGAACAAGCTGGTGGTTACCCGGGTGCCTGGGTGGCTCAGTTGGTTGGGCGACTGCCTTCGGCTCAGGTCATGATCCTGGAGTCCCGGGATCGAGTCCCACATCGGGCTCCCCGCTCAGCGGGGAGTCTGCTTCTTCCTCTGGGCTCCCCGCTCAGCGGGGAGTCTGCTTCTTCCTCTGGCCCTCCCCCTCTCATGTGCTCTCTCTCTCTCAAATAAAGTAAAAAAAAAAAATCTTTAAAAAAAAAACAAAAAACAGGGGCGCCTGGGTGGCTCAGTCGTTAAGCGTCTGCCTTCGGCTCAGGTCATGATCCCAGGGTCCTGGGATCGAGCCCCGCATCGGGCTCCCTGCTCAGCGGGAAGCCTGCTTCTCCCCTTCCCACTCCCCCTGCTTGTGTTCCCTCTCACGCTGTGTCTCTCTCTGTCAAATAAATAAATAAAATCTTTAAAAAAAAAAAAACTGGTGGTTACCCGAGAGGAGGAGGGTGGGGGGAGGGGTGAAATAGATAAGGGGGATTAAGGGTACACTTATCACGATGAGCACTGAATAATGTATAGAACTGTTGAACCATTATATTGTAAAAACAAAACAAAAACAAAACCAGAGTAAATTCTTGAGGTCCAGGTTGCTGGGATTTACCTAAGAATGAAAAGAGATGCAAAGTGGCATATAGGGTGCAGTGAGTTCTTTTCTTCCTTAGTCAACGGATGAGAAATTACCTTATGGGCTTACCTTATCTGGTGCATTTTTGCTTAACATTAAAGGAAAGACTCGCTCGTGAAGCCAGTGCTTGCGATCGCTGCTGCCACAGCCGTACAAGAAGATATTATTCTTGCGGCTGTGGCCATGGAAATCACAATACAAGAGAACCTCCCTTTCTTCCAGAAGCCTATTGAGGGGGGCAAACAAAGGACTCAGTGGACATCCAAATGCATGACAATAATCTTTTATAGTCTCTTCCTTAAGCATGTCTGTTGCTACCATTCCTCTAAAGAAAAGGTCAACCCCTTCAAAGGACCCTATGCCCATCTTCAGCCACTGCTGTAAACATGCTACCAGCACTCCTCGCCCCTGCCGGTCACAGGGACTTGAGATGAAAATGCGCGGATGTGGAAGGGGTGGTGGGTACGCCTTGTGTAAGCTGACAAGGAAGGGGAGGAAATCTGTTGAAAGAAAGCCCACCTGGGGGCAGCCCTGGGGAAAGAGGGACAGAAGTAGAGAGGCTGTAAGTGTTGGGTTGAAACTGAGAAAGCAAGCCTGGGTCCCTGACTTTCCAGGGCCAGCTCCTGTCAGGCTCAGCTCCTCTGTCTCCTCCTCACCCAGGCATCTACTTAGTCTTCCAAACATGGTCACCTTCTCCACGATGAGGATGACAGGATGAAGAGGAGGGCAGTAATGCCACACACTCACAACGTGCAGGGCACTGTGCTAACCAGATGACATGGATTCTCCCATTTAATCCGCTAACCACCCGAGGCAGGCGAGCTTAGCCCCACTCCACAGATGGGAAAACTGAAGCGCAGAGAGGTACAATCACTTCAAGGTCACAGAGCCGGCCCGTAGCAACACCAGGTCTCAAAGCCAGGCCTATCTGACTCCCACACACGTGCTCTTAGATTTTGCCTGCCAGCCCCACACCACACGACTCCCACCCTCTCCCACAGATACGGTTACGAGGTGTGCACGTCCACATATTCTTCTGTGCTGTGGTCCCATTTCCGGTAAGGTGGGTGCCACTACACCATAGCCTTCAACTGCTTTCACAGAAGCTTGGAAAATTTTTTTTTTTTTTAAAGATTTTATTTATTTGACAGAGACAGCGAGAGAGGGAACACCAGCAGGGGGAGTGGGAGAGGGAGAAGCTGGCCTCCTGCCGAGCAGGGAGCATGATGCGGGGCTCGATCCCAGGACCCTGGGATCATGACCCGAGCCGAAGGCAGGCGCTTAACGACTGAGCCACCCAGGCGCCCCAAGCTTGGAAAATATTAACTGATTTATTTACTATTCTTTCCTTACGAGAGGCAATATAAGAGGTAATAAAGAACTCAGACTCTGGAACCTGAGATCCTGTGTTCAAATATCTACTCTGTCGCTTTTTAGCTCTATGACCTTGGGCAAGTTGCTTGACCTTTTGGGGCCTTAATTTCCTCACCATTTACAGACGGGATACTGATTGTGCCAACGCCAGAGGGTTAATGTGAAGACTACATGGGCCCCATGTGGAAAGCACTGAGAGTACTACCTGTCCCCTCTACACAAACACTACCTAATTGTTAGGTACCGTTATTATTACTACACAGGCCTCATGACGAAGGCCTATGAACTTCTCTGACTTCTGAACCCTCTATTCCATTGTTTCACTAATAAGTGAAATGCCTCTAGCTGAAATATTGCATGTTCAGGTTCAACCCAAAGATAAAACAGGACTTGGGACACCTGGGTGGCTCAGCTTGTTAAGTGTCTGCCTTCGGCTCAGGTCATGATCCCAGGGTCCTGGGATCGAGCCCCGCATCGGGCTCCCTGATCGGCAGGGAGTCTGCTTCTCCCTCTGTAGTATTATCCCCCTGCTCGTGTTCTCGCTCTCTAATAAATAAATAAAATCTTAAAAAAAAGATAAAACAGGACTTAAAAGTTTGGAACCGACCACACCACACCCACGTGATTGCAAACAGAAGGGTAAAGACAGTCTCCAAAGCCGCGCCCAAGTCCCATATAAGCAGAGCCCTTGCACCTGTCAGACAGTGTTCACAGCATTCGGGGGAAGATCAGCAGATAAAGGGGCTCACCTTTTGATCATGTTCCTGGTGTACCAGATGCAAGGGAAAGACTCCTTCAGAATGGTTTTATAATGCCTGTTCAAGTCCCGTCCCGCCAGTGAACACCGGTAATTCCCCACGATCACTCCATCTGGATTTAACATAGGAACCACTTTGAAGACAAAGATATCTCTGAGGAGCTGGGCATCTGGGGAGTTGCTAAGGATGAAGTCCAAAAAGCCCTTCATGATCCACGAGCCATTACTTTCTCCAGGGTGGACTCGGGCGCTCAAGACCACGGCTTTCTTGGCAGCCGCCTCCTGCGGGGTCCGGGCTGGGTTGGTGATGGTAAGCAGGTAGACGGTATTTCCTCCTAGGCTCCTGCATAAAGTTCGGAGTTTGCAGAACTGAGACTGGACGGGGTTGTTCATCACTGACAGCAGGTAGCATTGTAAATCAGTGTATGTATACGGGTAGAAGTGTGCGAAGAAGCAAGTGTCCTGGTCGTGTGGAAACTGAATGGTCCACGTGAGACAGTAAAAGAGCTGCTGTCCATTGTCCCTGTTGTTCTTATAGTACCTGATTTCATTTCCTTCTCTCCTCCAGCCAATGTTGTGGGTGCTGGCATCCAACTGGGAGTACATGAGTGGCTTCATCCCTATAGTGTAAAGGCTCTTGGGTTTGAGCAAGTTGACAATGGTGAAGCGGTAGGTGGCATCTTTTCTAGTGTTCTGAACACGAAAATAAAACCACTGAGTGTGTTTGTTTGTGTAGAGGTCAGTTCGCAAGGTGAGTTCATACTCATAGGTATCTCTGTAATGGAGAAAACAGAAGAGTATCTCTGTCACCTCACATCCCCACCCCTGCAAAAAAGAAATCTAAAAAAGTGTTGTTTCCCCCTGGCAAAAACAGATCTTATTACAAAAGGAAAGCCTGCTACTTCAAGCCTTAATTTTCTAATTTACATAGTTCCCCAACTCATACTATTAGGCTGGCAGAAATTTGGGTAAAGAAAGTTTATTTGGGGGGCGCCTGGGTGGCTCAGTTGGTTAAGCATCTGCCTTGGGCTTGGGTTGTGATCCCGGGGTCCTGGGATCAAGCCCTGTGTCAGGCTCCTTGCTCAGCCAGGAGCCTGATTCTCCCTCTCCCTCTGCTTGCCGCTCCCCCTGCTTGTGCTCTCTCTCTCTCTGTCAAATAAAATGACTGAGCCACCAGGGCGCCTGGGTGGCTCAGTCAGTTAAGTGTCTGCCTTCGGCTCAGGTCATGATCCCAGGGTCCTGGGATCGAGCCCCACATTGGGCTCCCCGCTCCACGGGAAGCCTGCTTCTCCCTCTCCCACTCCCCCTGCTTGTGTTCCCTCTCTCAATGTCTCTCTCTGTCAAATAAATAAATAAAATCTTAAAAAAAAAAAAAAATGACTGAGCCACCTAGGCGTCCCTAAATAAAATCTTTAAAAAGAAAGAAAGAAAAGGAATAATATGAATCATTAAAAATAAGGAGATAAATCTGTGGTACTTCCATAGGAAAACATCTAAAATTTATTAAGTGGCAAAAAGCAATTTGTAAAACAGTATGTATACCGTTATCCTATTTTTAAAAATAAGTAATTTCTGGGGCACCTGGGTGGCTCAGTTGGTTAAGCGTCTGCCTTCGGCTCAGGTCATGATCCCAGGGTCCTGGAATCAAGCCCCGTGTCCAGCTCTCTGCCTGGCAGGGAGCCTGCTTCTCCCTCTCCCTCTGCTGTTCTACCTGCTTGTTCTCTCTCTGTCTCTCTCTCTGTCAAATAAATAAATAAAATCTTTTTTAAAAATAACAAATAAATAAATAATTTTTGTATATTATGAATACATGGAAAGAGGGGGAAAATTATTGCACATATACTGAACTGTTAACATTTGCTGTATCTGGGGAGATATGATTATAGGACTTCATTTTTTTAATGTTATGCATTTTTATTAATACAAAAAATTTTTAAAGGGTTTTTTTTTTAAAGATTTTTATTTATTTGTCAGAGAGAGAGAGCACAAGCAGGGGGAGCAGCAGGCACAGGGAGAAGCAGACTCCCCGCCGAGCAAGGAGCCCGATGTGGGGCTCAATCCCAGGACCTGAGATCATGACCTGAGCTGAAGGCAAACGCTTAACCAACTGAGTCACCCAGGCGTCCCTAAAGGGTTTTATTTAAGTAATTGCTACCACAAGGTGGGGCTCAAACTCACGACCCCAAAATCAAGAGTCACATGCTCTACTGACTGAGCCAGCCAGGTGCCCCTATTAATACAAATTTTAAATGAGCACTAAAATCATTCACAAGAAAAAAAAAAAACAACAAACCAGTGTAGATAAATTTTGCTCTGGGGGAAAATGAGTCCCAATTATTCCATTCTTCATCCTCATGACCATTTCTCACCACTTCTCTCTTTTTCAAAAACACTCCTGACTCCTAACATGACACCTGAAGACATGGGTCAGTCCCTCCGGTTATCGCCCCTTCGGGAAATTCCCATTACTCACACTCTGACAGCTTTTTGCAGATTCCCGCTCTCAAACCTTGACTCAAACAGGAGAGTATTATCCTCGGGTCCCTGCAGCGTGACGGCAAGCTCCCTGATAATCCCTCGCTTACCTCCCACTCTGGAACTGGTGAAATAGGAACCTTCAGTGGGCACTGTGGATGAGACAGACATATTTAGGGCAGGTTCCACTTAGAATCCATTCATCCAGCCAATATTTACTGAGCTCCTCTGTGTGTTCGATGCCATACTAGGTTAACAATAATGAATATTCAGATTTTCAACCGTCCTTGCTGAGATTTTTTAATTTTATTTTTTTCAATTTTTAATTTTTAAAAATTTTATTTATTTATTTGACAGAGAGAGACACAGCGAGAGAGGGAACACAAGCAGGGGGAGTGGGAGAGGGAGAAGCAGGCTTCCCATGGAGCAGGGAGCCCAGTGTGGGGCTCGATCCCAGGACCCTGGGATCATGACCTGAGCCGAAGGCAGACACTTAACGACTGAGCCACCCAGGGCCCCGAGATTTTTTAATTTTAAACATCGGATTTCTCTAAAGACCTTTAAGGTGGTGTAGAGCACTTCCTTTTGCTGCATGGCTGTGCCCTGGGCATCTCAGATACTATTTGTACCCACTTAAGCCCTAATTTAAAAGCATGTGGACAAATGATTTTCCACATAGAACATCATTTACAGTCTTAATTCTAAAAAAAAAGCACCTATTTATTAATTTAAAAAAAGGGTAAAGGAGAAAACAAAAAAGAGATAATAAAGTATACTTCATATAATTTTTTGGTATATCCTTCCAGATTTAAATATAAAAAAATTAGAAGTTTGGGAAGAATTGGCATGGGTGAATTAACTTATGAAGGGAACAAAAATATCATAGTAATTAGAGAAAATAAAAGGTTCTGATTGAAATTTTATCTTTAAAGTGATGCTAAAACAAAAAAATATAAAATTTATTTAATAAAAATTAGATTATAATCACCTCTTTCTATCCTTTTGGTGGGGTTGCAACTTTAAAAAAATATTTATTTCTTTGGGGAGAGGGAAGAGAGAGAGCACTGTGGAAGAGGCAGAGAGAGAATCTTTAAGCAGATTCCCTGCTGAGTGCAGAGCCCCACATGCAGGGCTCAACCCCAGGACCCTGAGATCTCAACCTGAGCGGAAACCAAGAGTCAGACGCTCTACCAACTGAGCCACCCAGATGCCCTGTAATTTGTTTTTAAAGATTTTATTTTAAGTAATCTCTACTCCCAACATGGGGCTTGAAATTATAACCCCAAGATCAAGAATCACATGCTCCACTGACGAGCCAGCCAGGCAAATTCAATGAGACTGCCATATGACATCTTTGATTTTTACAGTCACTTTTGCAAAACTATTTTAGGGCTTCATAGTTTCCCCAAGGACTTTGTACCACAATATTCTTATCATTGTGTCTAGAAGAACCTGTTTTGTCATCTTTTGTTGATTTTCTCTTTGTTAACTGAAAAAAAAAATTTCTAGATTCTCATTTGTCAGTAGCTTTGCAAGTGATTCAAGCAATTCTTCAACATTCATCAACTTCATAAAATCCTGCATGTCTTGTAAGGATAATTTCACTTTGCAACTGATTTTTACTGTACTTGCATTATACTGTCAGATATTAATAATATCCACCAATCAGCAAGTGACTGATATCAACAAAGATGCTGACCATGGGGCAGGATAGATGCCAGCATGAAACAGTAATAGGCATGGGGGCTTATTTTATTAGCATGGGGGCTTATTTATTTTTATTTTATTATTTTATTATTATTTCATTAGCAAATATCTTCATATTATGACTTTTGCTTTGATAGGCAACTCTGTCACTGTGGAGACTCAGGTAATAAACATTTAGATAATAAAGGAGAGCAAAAGAGAAAGCATACATATAAGGAAGCACATAATAGAAGAAAGCAAGCACAGAGGAGGCAGGAGCAGAAGAGGCCCCAAGTGTACACATAATCGGGGCTCCTGGGTGGCTCAGTCAGTTAAGCGTCTGACTTCGGCTCAGGTCATGATCTTGGGGTCCTGGGATGGAGCCCCATGTTAGGCTCCATGCTCTGCAGGGAGTCTGCTTGTCCCTCTGTCCCTCCCCCTGCTCATGCTCTCTCTCTCAAATAAGTAAATAAAACCTTTTTTAAAAAAAGAAAGAGTACACGTAATCCAATTAAAAGCTGGGGACCCACACGGGCACCTGGGTGGCTCAGCTGGTTAAGCGACTGCCTTCAGTTCAGGTCATGATCCCGGAGTCCTGGGATCAAGTCCCACATCAGGCTCCCAGCTCAGCAGGGAGCCTGCTTCTCCCTCTGACCCTCTCCCCTTTCATGCTGTTTCTCTCTCTCTCTCAAATAAATAAATAAAAATCTTTAAAAAAAACAAAAAGCTGGGGACCCACATGGTCCAGTCTCTACAATTAATACAGGAATTTTGACATTCCTTTGAGTCTCTCAGGCAACATTAAAGATGATCCTATTCATAGCCCACAGTAACATTTGCTAGTATTTGGGGTTTTTTAAAAGATTTTATTTATTCATTTGAGACACAGAGATACAGAAAGAGAGAGAGCAAACACAAGTAGGGGGAGAGGCAGAGGGAGAGGGAGAAGCAGACTCCCCACTGATCAGGGAGCCTGATGCGGGGCTCTATCCTAAGACCCACAGACCATGACCTGAGCAGAAGGCAGACACCTAACCATCTGAGCCACCCAGGCGCCCCTCTTTGCTAGTATTTGGTTGAGGATTTTTGTATTTATATTCATAAGGAATACAGTTTTCCTGTGATGTCTTTGTCTAACTTTGAATAGTGACTTCGTAAACAGTTGGAAATGTTTCCTCCTGCTACTATTTTCAGAGTTTATGAAGGATTAGTACTATTTCATCTTTAAATGTTTGATACAGGGGCGCCTGGGTGGCTCCGTCGTTAAGCGTCTGCCTTCGGCTCAGGTCATGATCCCGGGGTCCTGGGATCGAGTCCCACATCGGGCTCCCTGCTCGGCGGGAAGCCTGCT